ATTTTCAGAATTGTTTCTTAGAACAGCACATTCTGGAACCAACTAGAGACCAGATATTGGGCAAAGAGATAGGATCAATCAATTACATCATAATGAAGGCATCTCTAGGTAACTGCAATCATAATTTTACATTCAGCTTGTTGGACAGAAAAGTGAAATCAAGACTACTATTTTATAATTGCCTTCACTTAAGTTTAAAGGCATGAAAGCAGAGTTACCTAAAGTGGACTGGCAAACTGAGTTAATGGATTAGGGAATAGAGACGCAGTGGCAAACATTTCAAGGATATTTAAAAATATTCAGAATAGGTACAGTCCAACAATAAAGAACATTCCCGAGGGGAAGACCAACTATCCGTGGTCAATGAAAAGTTAAATATAATATCAAATTTGAAGAAATGCATATAATTTCACAAGACAGGTGACAGGGGTAAATATTGGACAGAATACAAAAAGCAGCAAAGAATAACTAAAAAACGTCTAAGGGAGAGCTTGCAGTGGCCGTAGGAGTTTAATTTGGACAAATGTGAGGTGTTGCATTTTGGTAAGGCAAATCAAGGCAGGACTTATACACTGAATGATAGGTTCCTGGGGAGTGTTGCCAAACAAAGTAACCTTTGAGTGCAGGTTCATAGTTTCTTGAAGCTGGAGTCACTGGTAGACAAGGTCGTGAAGTAGGCGTTTGGCATGCTTGCCTTTATTGGTCAGAGTATGAGTATAGGAGTTGGGGCGTGGACAGGGTGGTTAGCCAAGGTCTATTTCCTAGGGTAAGAGAGTCTAAAACTAGAGGGCATAGGTTTAAGGTGAGAGGGGAAAAAGTTTTTAAAAAGGGTCTAAGAGCAGCTTTTTCACGCAGAGGGTGACACATGTATAGGATGAGCTGCATGAGGAAGTGGTGGAGGCTGATACAATTAGAACATTTAAAATGCATCTGGATGGGTACATGATTAGGAAAGGTTCACAGCGATATGGACCAAATGCTGCCAAATGGGACTAGATCAGTTTAGGATATCTGGTCGGCATGGACGGGTTGGACCGAAGGGTCTGTTTCCATGCTGTACAGCTCTATGACTATATACAAGAGAAAGTAGCTAGAAATATATAAACAAATACTAAGAGTTTCTATAGATACTTAAAAAAATGAAGTGACCACTGATCCTGTAGAAATGGAGTCTAGGGAATTAATAACGGAAAATAAGGAGATGGCAGATGAATCAATGGGAAGGAAGTGCCACAGTTGTAATGTTAGTGGACTCAATCTAGAATTCCAGTCACTGTTCCGAGGACACGGGTTTTATTTTAAAAAATTGTTTAAAAATATCTAAAATAAAAGAAGTTCTATTTAAATTTGTTAATAACACAAAGGTAGGAAACTAAGTACACTACAGAGGGATATGGATAAGTTAAATGGAATATCGTTAAGTGATTATGCCAAGATCTGGCAAATGCAACGTAATGTAGGAAAATGTGAAATTGTCCATTTTGGCAGGAAGAATAACAAAGAAGCATGTCAGCTAAATAGCAAGCGACTGCAGAGTTCTACGATGCAAAGGGATCTAGGTGTACAAGTAAATGAATTGCAACAAGTTAGTGTGTAGGTACAGCAAGTAACTTGGAAAGCTTTGTGATGGGAATTGAATATAATGGTAGGAAGGTTATGTTCCAGTTATACGCCATTGGTGAAACCACATCTGAAGTATTGTGTACAGTACTGGTCGTCTTATTTAAGCAAAGATGTAAATATCTTGGAAGCAATTCAAAGAAAATTTACTAAAGTGTTACCAGGAATGGCTGGGTTATATCACGAGGATGGGTTAGGTTTGTGTCTGCTAGAGTTTAGAAGAGCACAAGGTGACTTGATTGAAACATATAAACGATGACTTGGACTTCACTGGGCTCAGCACAGATAGGGCAGAGATGTTTGAACTCAGAGAGAACAAAAGACTCTTACAAAATATAGCTAGGCTAATATTTAGCTATATTCTGTACTTGGGATCAGGATATATTCTTGCTAGAGTGTAGGGTACCTTTACTGATCCAATTAAAATTATTCAAGTAGAAACCCAGAGGCTTGAATTCAAACATTTTCTTCAATTTCCAAAAGCCTTGAAATTCCATGAACATTGGACAGCATCTTGCAGTTCACATAATTATTACAGTGCAGAATGGGGCCATGTCATATCTGTCCCCTCATGTCTGTCTCACTCTCCAAAAGGAGCATCTCACTCAGTGCCATTCTCCTTTATCTCCCATAACCTTGCATAATGCTCCTTTTCAAATAACCTTTTATTTCTTAATAGAAACCAAAAGAACTGCAGATGCTGTAAATCAGGAACAAAAACAAAGTTGCTGGAAAAGCTCAGCAGGTCTGGCAGCATCTGTGGAGGAGAAAACAGAGTTAACGTTTCGGGTCCGGTGACCCTTCCTCAGAACCTTTGGATCACCGGACCCAAAACGTTAACTCTGTTTTTTCCTTCACAATGCTGC